TCATTAGTAATCTCTCTTCTTTTCATTGGTGTTTTCATAAATGTTATATGCACGCTTGTGAATTGAATCAGAAAATTCAAAGGGAGTATGGGAAAAAACGTCCCAGAGAGGGAAAAAATGTCTTAAGGGTGGGAAAAAATGTCCCAAGGGTGAAAAAAATGTCCCAAGGGTGGGAAAGGGTATTCAAGGTCAAAAATATTATCATAATTTGGAAACTAAAAATAATATACTGGGAATATAATAATTAATAATGAATAAATATTTTTAAAAATGTATTAAAAATATAAAAAGCTAAAAATGTTAGATAAAGTTTGAAAGTTATTTGAATACAAAAAAAGAATGTTGAGACACAATAAATTATGTTGAATAGATTAATGGAATTTTGTAGAAGAGGACAGCAGATGTAATCATTCCTAATTTATATTCATCCCAAACAGCAAATACTTGATTCTGCATCTGAATCACACTTTTCTTCTCAGACTTCTTTAGCCTTTTTTCTGATAGAAGTTTCTCAACAACTGGAATAAGACAGTACTCCTGTTTTAAAATGTCTATGAGCATCTAAAATGACCCTTTTGCAGATGTTTTTTCATTCATTCTTCTGTGCCATCCTTCAACATCATTGTTGGTTCTGATGGCAAGACCAAATACAGACCAACAATCTGGTGTCCAAATTGAATGCTTAATCCAAGTACTGTCAATGTATTGAAAAAAATCCAGAAATTCATTTCTCTCAAAAGCTTTATCTTTTAGCATGTAAAAACTGCTTAAAATAGCTTCAGCTATTAAATATATGATAAGAAATGTAAAATCTATCATTCACTGCTAGGCAACACAATGAAATAATTCATTTCTCCTTTAATAACATTACATAATTCAGAGAAAACTGGTAAAAATATGACTATTATATTTTATAATTGAAACAAACAGTATAGGTAAAATTATCAATAGTTAAGGCTACAACACTTTATTTTTACCCCAGGACGTTTTTTCCCACCCTTGGGATGTTTTTTCCCAAACCTTAGGACGTTTTTTCCCACTCTGGGACATTTTTTCCGAAGGATGTTTTTTCCAGACCCCTTCAAAGGAATTCAGATTCGATGAAGGCTTATTGTTCATTTGCTGTTTGCTTAACAAAAACTCTTGAATTTTGAATATAATATCGCCCTATTCACGGCTATGGAACTGATAATTAATTTTTATTACTGAATATGCCATGAGTAAGAATAAAAGCTAGTCAGCCAGTTTATCAATAATAAAGGTATTTTCGTCGCAAAGTATTTGTTGAACACAGGAAAATTAGGCCTTTGAATTGAGCAAAGTACAATAGATCTAGGCCTACGGCAAAAGAAAATTCATAGGTTAGTTATAAGGTTTAGTTTCCTAAACTTTATGCAAGGATATAGAAATCAGACAGACAGACAGACAGACATCAGACAATTGAAGGAAACCAGTGAAAACTTTGCTTTCACACACAAAGAGAATTTTGGGAGAGAGTCGATTCCGCAAAAATAAATACACTACCAACAACATAGTAATGGTAGAACATTCATTAAAAATGAATGGCTTGAAAAATTCTATCAATATATCCTCTATGAATGCTATAACCTGATTCATAAGATTCATATACTATTTGCTTTCCTACATACTTTCAATTGCCTAAGTGCCATTTATTGCTGCCATAAAGATTGAAAAAGGATGCTGAATGTTTGGATGTAATATATTTTTTTTCTATAGTTGTTTTCAATCTATCAACATTTTTGGCAATTTCAATCTAAAAGAGGTGAGATATTATCTTCAAAAGTCTAGTGTATTTTCTTTGATTTTCAAAAGAAATTGATGTTTTGATGTTTTTTACAACCTTAACCAATGAATTGCGATGTTTTAAAGTTGTCGTATTCCCACAGAGTTCTTCACTGTGTAACCAAGTTTTTGCAGATTTTAATACAACAATGGTAAAATTCAGAATGTTGAAAAAATGTGTCATTTATATTTAATTTTGTTGAATTTCTTTGATAATTTGTAATATATAGAACTGAAATCATTAAGATTTTTATATAGTGTAGGTATTTTAAGGTACAATTTTCGATTTGGGAACAGGGTTAGGGTTAGGGTTAGGGTTAGGTTCTACAATACTTTTTAATGTGATTTACTTTTAGAGGATTTGTTACAGCTTGATATCTTTCAAGTGTAATCACTGATATACTCAAGAAAATGACATTATTGAACCAGAAACTTTGCAGTAGGGACCGATTAAATACAAATTGGAAAGTAGGTCACTATTCAACAGACATAGACGATACAACTTTGATGATTCTGAATTCTTTCTTGTCATAATATATGCTCTAAAAATATTTCCATAAGACAATTGAAAATAAACTTTTTCATCAGAATTATCTGAGCAATCCCTATGCAGATCACTGACTAATGAATCTCGTTGAAACATCGAGAGAAAAGAGATTCATCATTGATACAATTCGTTTCATCCTCATTGTTTATGCAGTCTTTTAGGGACTCGGACATGGAAAAAATGTCCCATGGAATGAACAACCCATGAAAAAAGTGTCTCAATTTGGAGAGAAATTACCATTCAGGAAAACAATCCAAGAGAATAAGTTTCAGCAGATAAAGTTTGTTTAAAGAATAAAACTACAATAATAGAATTAAAACACATTAAGAATAACTCTTGTTAACATGAAGAAAGAGAGACTAAAATGTAAAGTTATGATACATATATGTTTGATATTTTCTCCAAGAGATCCATTGCCATTATTAATCTCAAATCATAATCATCTCATAATTGCAATATTTTAACCTGCAATTTCAAATGTTCTTTCTTTTAGTGTTTTTTCAACTTTTTTTCAGATAAGAACTTTTTAAAAACCTCCATAAGGGAAGTCTTCTTATTTAATTCATCTACCAATTGGTAAAAAGAGTCCTTGGTTGAGGCATTGCTGTTCAACCTTCTGTACCAAGCTTCAACTTCATGGTTTATTCTGATAGTATAGCCAAACACCTTGCTGAGGTTGCCAAATTGAATTTTCAATTCAATTCAGATCTGACATAATCAAACTAAAGAATATAAAATCTTAGCATATGTCACATTTAAAAACAAGCACATCTCTACTGTTTCAGTGTAAACTTCTTTCTCAAAATTGAGTATACCAGTTTTCTTTGACAGACATAATAATGTACCATTACATCATCATAAAATATCAGTATCTTTATACACGTTAACAAAAGTCCAAAAATTTAGAATATTTCTTTTAAAAAGGGATATTCTTTCCAAAAATGGGACATTCTTTTCATAACCCACTTGCCATTTTTACATACTTCACTGATATAGCACTAAAAACTGTTGGTTAAACAAGAATATCCGGCATTGGTAATTGAATTCTGCAATTCTCCTGCATTAACTATAGATATGGGTCATGAGTAAAATCTTAAATAAATCAATTCATACAGCTAACCCTGAATTTAATGCAGACAAAAATATCATTCACTGAGTCTTTATGCTTAATTAAGCCACTACTTTTCATTATCAGATTTCGCTCATCTGAGAAGTTTCCCAGACCCATTCAAAGTTGCTTCTCTTTGTTTTTGTGTTGTCTTTTCCCCAATATAGTAAAAAATTACTATACAAATTGTTTATACTATAATACTCAAACAGATGTTTTGTAAAATAGTGTAGAGTGTTTTTCCAGATTGGTAGTACCAATTATGGAAAAACTGTTTAATTCCTGAGAGATTAGGTACTATTCCATTTTCTCTGCTAACAGATACCATGTTGTCATACATGGCTTAGTTCTGTTCCAGTGAACTGATTGCCTGTTTTATTTTTGAGTATTGGTATGTAATATCTTTCTTTATCCCATGGTGGAGTAGGTCAGCTAATCTGTCAATTTCTATTTCAGGTTCAGAGTGGTGACTATGAATATTCAACTGATGATCATATTTTTTTCTTGTTGGAAGATAAATGACTAAGAAATGATCAAATGCAACAGAAACCATCATATCATAAATTTCAACTATAACAATATATCTGAATAGAGTTGCTTCTTTTAAATCACTTTTTAGAATTGTAACAGCCAAAAGTAAATTTAATGGAATTCCCATAGCAACTGAGAGTAGTAATGTAACAATTGGAAACAATTGATTATATAACCAAGTACAATTTTCATTTTTTGTTGTATTCATTGTTCTTTTATACTCTAATAGAAATTCTGACAAACTTCTCTTCTTGTTCTTCTTTCCTTAAGCAGATTTAAGCTGAAGCCAAAGATGAGAGGAGAAGCATTAAGAATAGAGCAGTTTGCTGGATTTTTTAAAAGAAATTATTAAAAAAGAGAATTTATATGAACATGTGATGATGTAATATGTTAATTTTTTTAGCATAAAAAAAACAATGAATGGAGCTAAAAATCTTTTTTATTGACATAATTTTAATTAGGAGAATAAGAAGAAAAAAATACAAATAATTCATACAATCATTGATTGCTAAAACATACATGTTTTATTTTTTTTCAATTTTTGTTGCCAATTGTGATAAATGACACAAATAATTGTTCAATGATAAATATAGCTTGATTGAACAATTGATTTTAAAAGGCATTAGATGAGTTGTACAATTGTATTGATGATGGTAGGAGGTCAGATTTTTTGCTTTGAATGAGAACCAGTTTATTGTTTAAAAAAAAAACAAAAACATAAGATATATTATAAACAAGAGAATTTTCAAATCTTTGCAGAAAGTATTGGTATTAATTGAGTAGTGAAGCATACTAGTACTCAGCATTGAACTCTCTTTTGATATTTTCTTATATGCAAATGCAAAATGAGCTTTTTTAAACCCTCATTAAATGGAGACTTATTGCTGTGGAAATGATAGCATTGCATGTAGAAATGCAGAAATGAGAAAATTCCAACTGCAAAACAGAACCAAATAAAAATCAATAGACATAAAATGCTTTATTTGTTCAAAATTCATTTGTATTTTCTTATTAGAGAATTGTTGTCACCTCACAAACTTTCATAATTCCCCTCTTATCAACCATATTCACATAGAAGGCTTGACAATATTTATCACCACAAATACAACTATATTGACAATTGGTGGGAGATGAAAGAGTCAGTTTGCAGGTGAAAAATTCACCTTCAAACTTTGCCTTTATCTGATGTTCCAGTGGAATGTAGACAACAACTCCATTTGTATCCCCTGTTACTGCAGAATAGCACATCATATCTTGTCCTTTTATGTCAACTTTAAATTGGAATTTATTAGTATTGGAAGTGGGCCAAGGGAATCTAATTGTGATTGGAAATTGTTCAATCACTTCACAGGATTCATTATCATTGTCAAAAATTTTATGATCCTTGGAAATTATTTTACTGCCAACCTTAATGTTTTGTATAAAATTTCCATAAAAGCAAAGATTTTCATCATATTTTTTAGTAATTTCATTGAGATCTATCATCTGCAGAGATGGAAAAGACAAAAAACACCTTGCAGGAGTTTGATATTTGAAAATAGAGATATAAATAATAAAAAGCAATGTAATAACTTACACTCTTCAACTTTAAACCTTCTGCAGTGAAAGCTATCACTCTATTATTGGTTTTGGCATTGTTCAATGCTATTTCTTTATCAGTATAATTATACACTACATCATGAGCACCATCAAATCCACCAATAAAACAAGTCAATCTACTATCAGCAAGGCGATGTAATGACGTAGCAGCAATCTTATATTGTACACATTCATATTTCAAAAAGCAATGGGTGCCCCATACAATTAGAAATGCGACACAGTTGCTTCGCTCAAAACAATAGCGTGAACATTTGTCTACTGAATTGAAATGGAAGCTTGCTATGTCTGAGCCACCACAATCCATACTTTCTTTAGTCCTTTTAAAGCCTGGTACCTCATCATTTCTCAAATAGCATCCATATCCCATCTCATAGCATAGTGATCCAGTATCACAGATTGTTTGTCCATCATCATTATCTTAACAACAGACAAATTTGTTCTTAATTTCTACCTTAATTAATTAATTAGTTAGTTACCTCCAACTTTCACTCTGAAAGAGAGGGGAATATTGCACTGTCCATTGACAAAATAGAAAACACCTCTCTGCAGAGTAAGAAAGATAAAGACGGTTATAAAGTGTTCAGAAAACATCATTATGAAAGTTGAATAATCTGATTGCTAGATTCAACGGTGAAATAAAAAAAAGGAAAAATTTAAACATTAAAATAATCCACTCCTTGTCACTTTAAAAATTCATTTGTTGTCAGCTAAACATAAAATATTCATAATTATCCATTAAATGAGATTTTTCTTTGTTCCCTTGTTTGTATTGGTAAAGAAACTTCAAATTACTTCTAGTTTTTTAAAGCGGTAACAAAGACAATGATAAAAAATTGATGTTCAAGCAGAATTTTTCTCTCCTATTTTCCTCCCAACTATTAAATATTGAATTTTGACCTATGGTTTAAACAATAAATATTCAAAACAATATAATAAGAGGAGAAAGAATTTACACTGCTCTTGTACAACATTTGTTATATTTGATGCTTATGAGTAGAACCAGAACTGTTAATTGTTAAAAATACATAAAATAGCTAAGTAAAGCAGTGCACTGTATTGTAATTGTGGGAGTTTCTAGTCCCGGTCTATTTTTCTCCACAAACAATCTTTTGCCATTATTAATTTCATTAAGATAAGCCATTCTCCTCACATTTTCTTTATAATTGTCCTTAAACTATGAGGTTAGAATTAAACATTTTGACATTGACCTTGACATTTACATTGTGTAAATAATTCATTTCTAAAATAGTAAAATATTCATTTCCATATATCACCTTTATACTTTTTCCAACATTTCTGGATTATTCTTAGCATTATGAATCAAAATCTGTTTTTCCGCCTTTTAACTCTTTCTTCCTATATTTGACAGAAAAATACTTTCCCCAAATCCTGGTGACATTGAACTTGATATTAAGTAATCCTTCTTTCTTGTGTTTAGTAAGGCCATTGAACTGTTATTTCAAAAGTTTTTTCTGCAAAGAAAAAAACTAATGATTTTTAAAAATTTAAAAATAAACACAATTCTACTTTTCCAATGTTGAACAAGTAGAAAGGTCCTAGTGGATGTTGGTTCCAGTTCATCCTGCCAGGCTGAAGGTAGATGTTTGGAGTGAAACAATCAGGATTTATCTTAGGTACAATCGAAAAGTTTCAAACTATGTGCTGTAATTTTAAAATGGCTCAGCTACTATCATTGATACTGTCCAATTGTCTTAGTAAATTAGTAAACTTTCATTGTGCAAACTTTCATTCGATTCTGTTGAGCCATTACAAATTTATTTTGGTGTAAGCAACTGCAAGTCATGTGCATATTGTTCTGATCAACAACAAATCATTGCATTTTTAGTGCATGAGAAGGTCTCTTCAAAACAAATTTATAAGTGGTTAAAAAGCTAATTTGGGGATGAAACTCTGAGTGAATGTTCCATAAGAAGGTGGGTTTCTGACATAAAAAAGGGAAGAAAAAATTTGGAGAATTCCCAAGATCTGGTTGTCCAAGGACAGCTGTAACAAGTCAGAACAGAGAAACAATTGACAGGCTTATCAGAGAAGATTGGACCATTTCTCAGAGAGAAATCGCCAAAAAATTAGAAATTTGTAAAGAGGCTGTAGGAAAAATTATAAAGGAGCTGGGGTACAGAAAGATCTATGCATGATAACCCTTGACCCTGTTTGTTGTGAACAACCCTTATCTGGAGTTAGACCCTTGTTGTTGACACCAATGGCACAAACAACTGATAAGGAATTGTATATAAGACAGGGTGTAGGTAGTAACAGGCATTCAGTCCTGAATCAACCCTCTTAGTCAACAGGTCTAGTATTACTTTAGAATAGAGTTTTATTGTTTTTACAAATTGCTTCTATATTCATCTTTATTCAATTCTACATCTCTTCTAAGTGGCTTATTCCTAATTTGATTTAATTTGGACCAGTACTTACTTACAACCCTATAGCTATGATGACAGGACTCTACATCATTGTTGGTTCCGATGGTCACTTGGTAGATTGACCAATTATTTACTTTCCAAATATTATTTCTAATAAAGTAAAGTTTCTTTCAAAATAGTTCAAAAAATCCAGAAATAAATTTTTCTCAACAAGTTCTCTTTTAGAAGTTTTGAATTGTCTTTTAATGATATTAGCAGGTAAGAATGGTAGAGAGATTATTTTTCACCTCCATAATTTTTTTCTTTATAATCTTTTACTCATCCAAGATGCTGCCCTAAATAAAAAAAATTTTGTAATTCTCAAATGACTATTTATACAATGAATACTTGTATTTTCTTAAAAACTGCACTTTTAAAATGATAAACACATCCTTGAATTGTTGTTTTTGGAAACATTTCTTTGACTTTTTCTTTCTTTTGCTCATTTACACAGCAAGCAGTTGAATTTTCAGTTTCAGAGAATTCTATATCTGTTATCTCATTTTGTCCAAAGACCATTGCAGTTCTTATTTCAAGCTCATTACAATATTTCAGTTCATTCCTATTGTCCAGTTCAATACCATTTTCCAGCTTCTTTTCATTTTTCCTTTATATCTGTAGTCTAAATATCAATAAACCACTATTTCTAAGTGTACAGGAGGCGATGACTCATCTAGTTATCTATTCTCAGATTTATATTTAAGATATATTAGCCACTTTAATAATATCAAACTATTGTCTATATGACAACAATAACAACAGAACTAAGTAAAAAGATATTTCTTTTATTATTCATGAAACATTATTTAAAATTTCATTTTAAAACCAGCAAAACAAAACATACGAAAATGTTAAGGAGGAAATGAGAGTAGTTAATCTGCTGGTTTCCCCTAAACCAAATTGGTATTTAGTAGTATAAATTTACAGGAAGTAGTATTCCCCTTCAACTGCCTCAGGTATAATTAATTCTAAGTTTGTTGTTTAGTATATATTCTACATAGTACAAGGTTTGTCTGTCAGTTGAATATATAATGGAGAATCTAACTCTATCCACAAATGAAATAGATGTGAAAAAATTCACTCCATATTTGATTTATATGTCAATTACTATCATTTTAGGATTTCTGGCAATTCTTTCCTCTAAATCCAGGTGGGCATTCACATACATAAGACAATTTGCCATGGTGACGACACACACCATTGTTTTGGCATGGATTTGAGCTGCACATATCAATTGATTCAGTAGCCATAGCATTAGTCTTTGTCAAGCCTAATCTATGACATTCCCCACAGCATCTCTTGTCATACTTTCTAAAACAATATTCTGGAAATATTGAAATCAGAGCTTTACAAGTTGTTATCCTTGACCTTCCATATATGATATTTAATGGTGTATCAGTACAACCAGGTGGTACAGTTCTTATCAAAGCTTGTCCACCTGTACAATTACGTGCAAACCGCATGTTTTTATAAAGATTAAACTGTGAAGAACGAATACATCTGTGCTTATAGCATTGTTTTCCATCCCCACAAGAGCTTCCATCTTCTGCTCCAGGGTTTGAAATGAAGCAGCTTGGTCCCTTATCACATATCAGTTCATGACAATCATCAGTTCTGTGGCTTGAACATGCCCAGGTATTTGCAATTGCTCCATTTCCATACCTTAATATACATTGTTCAGTTTTTGAATATTTGAGTCCTGGATATTTAACATCAGAGGTAATTTCGTCCTTGTTGAATGCATCATGGCCACATACTTTATTCATCACACATACTCTTGGAAATCCATCTCGGGTATTTCCAATAATTGTATTATACATTGCATCAATTGAGCATTGACTGAATATAAAAAAATGACTAATTTTAGAAAGAGGAAAACTTTCACCTCCAGGATTCATTATCTTTTCTGCACTGGCTGGACAAGCTGCATTAGATCTTGATCCATCATGTCCAGATCCAAGATTATGTGCAAGTTCATGAGCAGCAGTAGACCAAGATCTCATGTTAATAAACTCATTAATTGAAACACCCCTCCTTGTACAGACTCCATGCATAAAAGCCAATCCAATTACATCACCATAATCATATACATCTTTTTTTGTCCAGACAAAAGTATGATCCCAATCCATAAAATCAGCTCCATTAGTATTTTCTTTGTTGTCCATCCAATCAGAAATCTTTCTCAGTGCTACAAGTCCAGAAATTGCTTCTCTGTCACCAATGTTGGGTAAATTTAATGGAGGAGGTCCATCTGTAAATGGGCAGTTTTCCCTATGCCTCAATATGATAAATTTTTTAGCATATACAGATATCATATATCTTGGATCATTGATTCTTCTATAAACAAGATCAACACCATTTAGTAAATGAATAAACTTGTATCTCAAAGCTTTAACAGCTTCATCTTCACCTTTGTTTCCAGTTGACTCAACAAAGTGATTCCATACTGTATAGTCAATGATGCTCACTGTTTCAACATGAAAATGAGGTTTTTTGACAACAGCTCTTTTCATATCTTCCTGAATTTTATCAATGTTCAAGGGATAAGTGTCCAATGATCTTTCAGAGGGGGAAAGAATTTCAAGAATATGTTCATCATCTTCACCACCACTCCTTGGAGAAATGAATACTTGGAGGCCATTATGTTCAAATTTTCCTTCAATTGCTCGCTTCACTTTACCATCAATAATATCTTCAGACACCATAACTGCAGCCCAGTATTTGTATCTTGATAAGGGTGCACTCCATGAAGATAACCTCTCGCCACATCCCGATTTTCAAATTCAATTTTCAAGTTGGGGTTCATGTTTGTATTTCTTTTGAGTTGAAGATTAACAATATCATCATTAAGAGGAATACCAACACTAATATCGTAAGGATCATCCAGCGATCGTTGATAAATTCTCTCAAAATTATTGATTTTCACAATTTTTTGTTCTGTTAAAATAAAATATTTTTTTTGGAAAGATATAAAATACACATTTCCTCTCCCTCCCCTTTTTATAGTTGATAAATTTTTCACTACTTACCATTAGCTGTTATACAACCAACAAAGGATAAAATCAGGAAGAATTTCATGATTGTTGATTTTCAAATGTACAGCAATAACAGATTATGTAATGATTGAAAATTTTCTTTGTCTCTCTCACATTTTATAACATTTTGTAAA